TCTGTAGATTGCTTTGGACAGGATGGTCATTTTAACAATATTGATTCTTCTCATCCATAAGCATAGGATTTGTTTGTGTCATCTAGGATTTCTTTCCTCAGTATTTTATAGTTTTCCACATAGAGATCTTTCACCTCCTTGGTTAAATATAGTCCTAGGTATTCAAACTTTTTGTAGCTATCATGAATGGGATTGAGTTCTTGATTTGGTTCTCAGCTTGGTCATTATTGGTGTATAGAAATGCTACTGATTTCTGTCCATTGATTTTGTATCCTGAGACTTAAATCTAGGAGTCTTTTGGAGGAGAAATCTTGAGGGTTTTGTAGGTATAAGATCATATCATCAGTGAACAGAGATATTTTAACTTCCTCTTTTCCAATTTGGATGCTCTTTATTTTTTTCTCTTGCCTGATTGATATGGCTAGGACTTCTGGTATTATGTTGAGTAGGAGCGGTGAGAATAGGCATCCTTGTCTTGTTTCAGTTCTTAGGGGGAATGCTTTCAACTTTTCCCTGTTCAGTATGATATTGGCTGTGCCATATATGTCTTTTATTATTTCGAGGTATATTTCTTCTATGTCTAGTTTGTTGGGGTTTTTATCATGAAGGGATGTTGAATTTTATTGATGGCTTTTTCTGCATCTATTGAGATCATTGTATGTATTTATCATTTACAATATGATGTTTTAAAGCATATATATATTGTGGAATGACTAAATCTAGCCAATTAACATATTCATCAGTTCACGTAGTTATCATTTTTGTGGTGAGAACATTTAATATCCACTCTTCTAGCTTTTTTTAAGAATATAATATAATGTCATTATCGATAGTCACCATGCTGTATAGTAGATCTTTTGGACTTATTTCTCCCATCTAAATGAAACTTTTTATTCTTTGACCAGCATGTCCCCAACCATCCCCCAAATTCCTCAGCCTCTAGTAACTACCACTCTACTTTCTACTTCTGTGTGATCAACATTTTTAGATTCTACATATGAGTGAGATTATATGGTTTTTGTCTTTCCATACCTGGCTCATTTCACTTAACATAATGCCTTCCAGGTTCATCCATGTTGTCATAAATAGCAGGATTTCCTTCCTTTTTATGGCCAAATAGTATTCCACTGTGCATGTATACCACATTTTCTTTATTCATTGATCTGATGATGGACATATAGGTTGATTCTATACCTTGGCTCTTGTGAATAGTGCCACAATACACATGAGTGTAGATATCTCTTCAAAATACTGATTTCATTTCTTATGGATGTATAATCAGTAGTGGAATTGATGAATCATATGGTAGTTCTATTTTTAATTTT